CTCTCTCTCTCTCTCTCTCTCTCTCTCTCTCTCTCTCTCTCTCTCTCTCTCTCTCTCCACAAGTTACAATCCAATATTAGACTACAATATGACTGATGACAGTGATGACCGATAAAAAAGTTTTTTTCCGATGAGGAGACTACATTTTGGAGATGCATAGAGAGCAGAAAAACTTTAATTCTTACTTGATTCTCATTTTAAGCAAACTTTAATTATATATTTAATTTATTGTGATTATATGATTATGGATTTATGTGATTACGTACAAACATATATTTAATATTAAAAGTTGAAAATTTGCAGTACGTGTTGATTCTCCTTGATATTATCTAAAGTGCAATAAAAATTTGTAGATAATAAAAAAAAATATATTTACCTCGGTTCTGGTCAAAATTAATTAACGTAAATTAAAATTAACGACGAACGCGACGTATAATTAACGAACAGTGCAATGTGGGTCAACTTTCTAAATTGTTGCAATATTCATATATATGGGATGTCCGCGGTGACGCGACATTTATTCGTCGTACTTAACGGTTTCTAATTTCAGATCATTTTTTATATTTTAGCTTTTCTCACCTGGTCCTCGATTTTTTTACAGACGGAATTTTCTTTTTTTTTTCTTTCTTTCTTTTTTTTTTGTTTTGTCGTAAGGTTAATGAAAATACAATTAATATCGGCGTGCTCGAAAAATCAATCAGCTTGACATCAGCTACGCGTATACAACATTAGGTACATGTACATACATTTACTCGAAAGAAAAAATACATCTACCTATGATGGAACATGTATCGTGTAAAAAGACGAATACCTTATCATAAAAAGCACAAAACAATTTTTCGATCGTGTATGTCACGCTTACAAACTACGTATCAGTCCTTTCGTTATCAATGTACGTAATACGTTCAAGTATTTTAATGACCTAAAATAAATGCTTATTTTGTTTGCAGATCCTGGCACAAGATTTCAAGGCCAAGTGTTTTGACGTGAATTTTATACGTATAGTGTATGTAACTCTCAATGACCAGGCGTCGACGACGGTTCTTTGATCCGTATATCGTTAATCAATTTCCGTTACACGTGTTTGTAAATTTTCTTACGGCTGGACGCGATTCGTAATCGCGCACAGTTGTGTAATCACGAGCACTATATAAATCATGGACGACGAGAAGCATGATAAAATAAAAACAGATTTTATCTGTTATATCAGTATATATATATATATATATATATATATATATATAGTTGGAAAATAGTTTCTACAAGATACCCGTGTGGAACCCGCGGATAAAAACTCGTAAAGGAAGAGACGAAAGATTTTTCGTAAACTCGGCTGTTTGAATGCGCGCAAGTTTCGGACAAGATCAGTATTAATATTAAGAGAGTACGAAAGTACGCGACCAGAGCGAGAAATGAGCGTCGCGACGGTTGTCGGCGCCGCTGTAAAAACAGCTACTGTCCTTCTTGGTGTCGGTATCGGCAAGATAACTATAATCCCAGTGCTGATTGCCGCGCTCGCATACTTCAATTATGATCTCATGGATCCAGAAAATCACCCGCGCGTGACGAAACAATTGAGTCAAGATTACGACTTTATTGTAATTGGCGGCGGATCGGCTGGCAGCGTGCTTGCCAACAGGCTGACTGAGACGCCTGAATGGACCGTGCTCTTACTGGAGGCCGGAGGTCACGAGACCGAGATAACCGACGTGCCGATACTCTCGTTATATTTGCACAAGAGTAAACTCGATTGGAAGTATCGCACGCAGCCGCAAGACACGGCCTGCCAGGCGATGATCGATCGTCGATGCTGTTGGACACGCGGCAAGGTATATGTATAATATATACTGTAAAAGAGTTGGGACACCAATACCACGCGCGATAGAACTTTATACAGACGGTTACGGAAGTCTCGAGATAGAAAATGATTGTTCCATGTACAGATTTTTCGTTGTAGAGACTATTATACTTTTATACTTTGGAGAAGCGCGAGAAGAAAACTGTATCCATGTAAAATATTTATCAAGATGATTTAAAAGTATTCACTTTTAAACGACCTATACATATATTAATATAATTGATTAATACACTGATCTATATTATGAGATCACGCAACATATGTATATCGTACTCTATCGCCGTCGTATTTATCCAAGACCCGCGCGCTGATCGAGTCACGCGCACTTTTATCGAAATTTACAATTTAACAATAAAACATCGATTATCGGACGCAAAAACGTTCCAACTGCATGTTGCCACATATCGCGAGGCGAGGTGTCGAGGATCAAATATACATTCGTGGCATACAATCGAAGCTAGAGAGTGAAAGTAATTCTTTCAGTGCCCGTACTCAATGTACGAAACGTTTACTTTTGTCTTGCACGAGTCTATATAATGTCTATAATTATAACGCTTATAATATCTATATATAATGTCGATTATTTCATATCGCGGCGATTTATTTAATTTCTAAATGCAAAAATAAGAGTGAAAACTGTGTGCTGAAGACCACATTGAGAAATCAAGCTACGTAATCTGCTTAGCCGAATTCGCTTAGCCAAACACTGCTCTTTTATTTTGTGCCATCTTCACAGTCACGTAAATTCAACACTTTAGGTTCTTGGAGGATCCAGCGTTTTAAATACGATGCTATATATTCGCGGAAATCGACGTGATTTCGATCAATGGAAGAATTTCGGAAATCCTGGTTGGGGATACGAAGACGTGTTGCCATATTTTAAAAAGTCACAGGATCAAAGGAATCCATATTTGGCACGCAATACAAGATATCATGGTACAGGTCCGTATGACGCTTTTTCACATATTTGTCATGCATCTTTGCATTTATCATGTGCAGTATTATTAGAAAAGAAAATCATTTCTTTATGCGCGCGCGCGCGCGCGCGCGCATACCTCTATGACGAAACATGACAGATATTTTTTATTCTTTTCAAAAGGAGGGTACTTGACCGTGCAGGATAGCCCATATGTCACTCCGTTGGGCGTAGCGTTTCTTCAGGCTGGAGAAGAGATGGGCTACGATATTTGTGATGTCAACGGCGAGCAGCAAACTGGTTTTGCCTTCTTTCAGTTCACAATGCGACGAGGTGCTAGGTGCAGCACCGCCAAGGCATTTGTGCGGCCAATCCAGCTCAGAGAAAATTTTCACCTCTCCCTGTGGAGCCACGTGACTCGCGTGCTGATAAATCCACAGAATAGAAGAGCGTATGGAGTAGAGTTTATCAGAGATGGTCGTAAGGAAGTGGTGTTCGCCAAGAAAGAGGTGATTCTCTCGGCTGGCGCAATTAATAGTCCACAATTGTTGATGCTTTCTGGAGTAGGTCCGCGCGTACATCTGGAGCAACTGGGAATTCCCGTGATTGAAGACGCCCCCGGGGTCGGGCAGAATCTGCAAGACCATATAGCAGTCGGGGGGCTCGTTTTCCCGATCGATTACGAGATCAGTATCGTGATTAATCGGATGGTGAATATAAACTCTGCGCTGAGATACGCCGTCACCGAGGACGGTCCATTAACGTCCAGCATCGGCCTCGAAGCGGTCGGCTTTATTTCCACCAAGTATGCCAATCAGACGGACGATTGGCCTGACATCGAATTCATGTTGACATCCTCGTCAACCAATTCCGACGGTGGCAGCCACGTGAAGAAAGCTCATGGTTTAACTGACGAATTCTACAACGAAGTATTCGGTAAAATCAACAATCACGACGTCTTCGGAGTATTTCCGATGATTCTCAGGCCCAAATCACGCGGTTATATCAGACTGAGATCCCGGAACCCTTTGGATTATCCATTGCTGTATCACAACTATCTCACTCATCCAGATGACGTGGCGGTGCTGCGCGAAGGTGTTAAGGCCGCTGTCGCCTTCGGCGAGACTAGTAGTATGAGAAGATTCGGCTCTAGATTCCACAGCAAGCCATTGCCCAATTGCAAGCACCTACCACTGTATACCGATGAATATTGGACGTGCGTTGTGAGGCAATACACCATGACAATTTATCATATGAGTGGCACCGCCAAAATGGCCCCGCCCGATGACCCACGGGCAGTCGTAAACCCAGAGCTGAGGGTCTATGGAATCGACGGCTTGCGAGTGATTGACGCAAGTATCATGCCGACCATCACCAGCGGCAATATAAATGCCCCGGTAATCATGATTGCCGAGAAGGGTGCCGATATGATAAAGGCAAAGTGGATGGGACGGTTTCGTTTCAAGAGGGACAATGTCACTGCCGCCGCTGCTGCTGCTGCTTCTTGACACGCCGATCGATTGCGTAATCGTATAATGTAATATACAAGGTTTGTTTAAAAAGATTTTGTCTTGAAAGTATCGGGGATTTGCTTCGTAGTCTCTTGTCTCCTTCGAAACACATCTCCCCTCTCGACTGACACACCACTCTATTTACGCTTAACGTTCCCACTCAATTACGGAAACAGTCCTGGTACGCATTCTTCGGGATCGCACGCAAGTCCGTCTGCGTATTTTCCTTCGTGAAAAACTAAAGATTCGACACAATTCAGAAGACATCAAAGAAGACGAACTTACGTACGATTCCAAAAAATCCGTGCACAAGGACTGTTTCTAAAAGTGGAAACGGCATTGAGAATATAGTGTATCAACCGAGAAGAAGAAACATACCTCGAAAGAGACAAGATTAAACAAGTTGTAAATTGTAAGTAAATCCCCAAAAATTTTAAAGACAAAGTTCGAAAGATCTCTTTTTTTTTTTAACAGGTCTCGTACTCGTATATAATGTAATATAGAGATACACGGCCAAGTGTAGAAAGTTGGATCAAAGAACAGCTTTAATTAGTAGCATTACATATTTTCGTGAAAGAAATTATAGTCTCCAATCTAAGATCTGAATAGCTTGCAGAAAAAAAAGCAAAAAAATAATAAATGTTGATTGTAATCGTTTGTAATATTTAATATTCGTAATATTGAACTTTTTCGTAAATACAATTTTTCTCGTATAGAGTGTTTAAACATTTAGAAATACAGTTTACGTTCACGTTAACGTAACGTAATAATGTAACGTAATAACATAACGGTACAAGTATTCTCGACTTGTACTCTCATTGCATCCGTTCATCCAAGTCGTCGATTATTTACAAAAATGCCATCTCACTTTAGAAAAAAAAGTATTTTCATCGAATATACGACAGGCTGATTGAAAGATTCATTTATTTGGCACGAGACTCTGTGATGCGTTCTTCATTATTTCAACAGAGAGTTGTAACAGCGTTTTGTGAAAATTCCACATTGACCGGCGTAGGGCATACGGCGTGTCACGTCAGAATTTTGTTGATTCACAAACATCACTACTTCGCGTAACCAAGTGTTTCGAAATATTCACATAATTAAATCTTGGATACTCGCGCAAAGCCAAGATGATGAGTCAAGAAGATGAGTAATTACACATAATTATTGCGTATATGAGGTTTGCCATAATTGTGCCAGGAGTCGCATGCCGGTGAGATTTCGTTACACATAATAGAAATGTTAAATAAGATAAGAATCTATCAATGGTGAATGTGTTTCACTTTTAAGACAAAGATTTTGAAGACAAAGATTTTATTATAAATAAAATAATTTTACCAATAATTTTCCTTTAAATCGATCCCTTGAGAAATCGTTTTGTAATCATTCCGATTTCAAAACGTTAAAACATTATTACGTATTTTAGTATTTAATTATCCTATAGTATTAAGCAGAGAGATCTCTGTAGTATATAGAAAATAGAACGATTGTGATACGTAAAACTAAACTTTCTTATTTTTATTTGTATATTTCTTAATAAGCACACGTCTTAATAAGCAAACAAATAACATGCATTGAGAAAAAAATATTTAAATAAAAAAAAATTCTATCCAGATCGCTGCCAACAGCCCATTTACTTGATACAATACACATATTTACCTAGAATTTAATATTTTTATTTAAAACAAGTAAAAAAATATCCAATTCCAAACAAACATGTGTATTATATTAAAGTAATCAAGTAAATAAGCTATTGGCAGCAATCTAGACAAATATTTTTTTTTTATCTAAATATTTTTTTCTCAGTGTGGAAAATGTGTAATTTTTTCTCTAATTGTAAGAGCAGCAGTTCAGAATATAACACGGATTACATGCAAATAAAAAAAATGTGCGACTTAACGTTTCTAAGATAGAAAACCGATATGAAAATTGGCTCGACCGGTTAGATCGCGTAAAGTGCATCAGCCATAACTAATCTGCAATTGCGTCAGGACCGCTCTCTATTATAATGGCGTGGCATGTGGTATAAGCTGCTGTAATTTCGGTTCTGTCGTAATCAACTTTTTATCGATTCATCCGTATACAGAGGTTACTGCATATGCTATATATACAATGATACAAATATGCTGCTACAACGATATTGTGTAAGCTCAGGCGAAAGTGTTTCGTGTACAATGTACATATAAACACTGGGCTCTTTATTATATTGAGACTTTTATACGATACCGGCGAAAACTGCGACGCATCGCGTGAAAAGATTAAGCGGTTAATAAGAAATAAAACATCGTTTATTTACGTAATAATGCGATACATACAGGGCACGCGGGGCAATAATCAACGACAATCTATTATAACTAATATGTGCTGCAGAACAGAAATCAACTAGCGCAATACTGAAACAAATAAATTTAAATAAATTTAAAAATCACAAATGTGTACCATATAAACTCGTCAATTTTTCATGTACACATTTTGACTGTGTTATTGCATAAGAAAACTTTTGTAAAAAATGTAATAAAGAGGAAGAAGCTAGATGACTGAAGAAGAAAGATTTCTATTTTGGCTCGCGCAACTCTATACCTAATTTTAATCGTTCGATAAAATAAAGATTTTGCTTATATTCGCGGCAATTTTTTTTATGGCTCTTCTTATACTCTTCAATTTGGGACATTCGAAATCCGAAGTCAATTCCGCAACGTCTTTGAATGTGTCATGCCTTTCGAGAAATAAAAGTAAATTTCACTTGCAAAATCTCTTACGTAATCGATCTGTGCCACTGCGCGACATCGTCCAGCATTCACCATTTATTCATAAATATGCTGTAAATTCTTGGACACGACGCTTATTGCAAAAATTCTTTTTTTCTGTAAAGAAGAGTCGAAAAAAGAATGCATATAAAACTATTATTAAAAGAAACCGTGTAAGGACAACCGATATTAACTTTCAATCCTTCTTCCTTAAAAAGAATCTTTTTAAAATGCAATATGTGCTGTTGAATGCTTAATGTGTGTGTGTGTGTGTGTGTGTGTGTGTGTGTGTGTGTGTGTGTCGAAATTGTGTCGTTAGAAATTTAAAAAATATACTAGCATTCTTTCTTCTAAGCAAAAATTAATGTCAATCAAAGTAATCAAAAAAGAGTCTGTTAAAGAATAACGCTACCTATGATCGACTCCGACAAGAGAAATCTGTTTTTTTACTCGGTTTCTTGGATACTTTCAGATGAATAAGGCAGTAGTAACAAAATAAAATAACAGACATCTGTATGATTCGTGAATTCATAATCCATGTTCCGTGCCTTTTATAAATCTTAAATATTGCGTTATGTGACGCGAGTATATAAAGAAACCATGATAATTTCAAAAAAAATTATCTTGAGTAAGAAAAATTATAGCTTCAATATTTTAATTTATATTGAAATAATTAATTGAAAATAGTAGTATAGAAGAAATCCGCATAAAAAAAAGAAAACACTAAAATGTACATGGCCTTTTGAAAAGTTGATTATTTTCGTCAGAAACGTTTCTTTTCACGTTTATAACTCTCGTAAACTATAGCATCTGAATATTTTCACCAGTGAGGAGTCGACTGCAAATTCGTTCGAGAATAGCTCATTAAAGTTAAAGTCGCGAATTGTAGGACATTATATATACAAAGAGGCAAGGAGTCTAGCGAAAAACGTGCGTGTCTCTCTCTCTCTCTCTCTCTCTTGATGTAATCAAAATACGGCACGTTTCGATAAAGAGAAATGAGGTGTCAGTTTGCAATATGCATGCAGAATGAAACTGTTCACTTCTCATCGACGCTGTTTTAATTTTTTGCACTATTTAACGCGCATATTTATAATTTTATTACGAAAATAACGCTGTGTAACAATAATAGTTATATATCGGACCAGTGGCTCGATAAAATTGTTAAATTATATGAAGCTTTGTGGCAAAAAAAGTAAAACATTGCCCACTCAAAAACCATACCAGAGTGCGCGAATCAAATCGTTGTCGATAGCGAGCTACTTTTGCTCGTATTATTTTTGGATTTTTGGATCTAATCGATAAACCGCTCAAACGTGATGGCAGATGCATCTCCGTGCGGATCAACTACAGGACGTAGAATTATTGCCGAGTTAATTATTCAAGTTAATTCAGGATCTGGTTATACAAAAATGTTCAACATATATGTATATATATCTCTCCGGATGCGACACGGATAAAAATGAAAATATAAATACGTAAGATACAAAATATCATACAATATATGATTCTATATCTTGATTCGCAGCGGTATCACACAGTTCTCTTTCAATTCCTCGCAAATAGGATTCTTCAGAATTTGTATCGCGAAATAAGGTTCGTGCGTGTTGAAAAGTCCGCAAAGGTGAAACGCGGTCGACAAGATCATAGTTTCTTTCCCGCCGATTCCTGCAGCGAGCCGTGGTTTAACGAGAGAATCAAAGCGCAGCGCGTATAGTAACGTAGTTGTCCGAAAGCAACGTAACGAGACGTAAATATGTATGGATTAGAGAGGTGCTGCCTGCTGAACGGCACGTAGACTCGTAGACATCGCAGAAGAGAGAAAGTGCGCGCGAGTAAACTCGTCTCTTCGTCGCGCATTCGGTCACGAAAGCAAAGAGAAAGATGCCGACACCGTTACCACGCGTGAAAGAGAGTCAAGTCTCGCGTACGATTCACGCATTCGAAAAGAAAACGACTGACTCTCCTCATTCGATAACGTTGCGAAATCGCGTATCGATAACGCCGGAAAAAAACGCCTGTCACTACTCGCGCTTTTTGCTTTCCTCTAAATGAAAAAAACAACGTTATTTATCGTTTTTATTTAATTTAACGTACCAGTTATTAAACAACACACGACGTAAACTTGATACTTGATCTCTAATGCATCTGTTCGTTCGTGCCATCGGTGCTATACTATAAAAGAAAAGAATACTTGGTTTATTTGAGAAATCTCACGCGTTACGTCGCTCCGTCACATTATGCTGTTTCACATCTCGCATGTTGTTGACGGTTCATTAAACGTTCAACAATTTGTACCGTGCTTCATGTAGATTTTCAATGATTATTCCTATTGAGATAAAAAGTTATATAAATCGCTATATCTATACGAAATAGGTATAAGAAAAAGGAAGAAAAAGAGACTTTCAATAGATAATCTATAGTCTATCTGAGTCTGAGAAGACTCGGACGTACGGCAGCCGGTATATACGTTACGGGATCACGTTTTCGTACGCGACGTTGGCATTGAAAGGATATACTAGGGGCCCAACTGGTTTTCACTCCGAACATTCACCGCAGTCTGGTTCTCACCGGCGCTAGTTTCATTCCGCTGCCATTTTGCCGGTTTATCCGCGGACACTCGGTACGACCGTTCTCCTTCTCACCAAGTTGAAGATTATCAGGCAGATTGGTACAGTATCAAAGTGCAGTTCCGCACGTTACTATGCAGAACAGAATCGAAATGTGATTTGATTCTGACTGTAAATATGATCGCAAATATCGGAAGACTGCTGTCGCGGATGTCACGAGAAAATATAGCAAGTGAAGAAAGCGACGGAGATCTAATAAAAGCCACGAAAACGACGTATAAAAAAGCAACGTGCGGAAATGCACGCAAGTGACGGATTGTCAATGGGTGTAACACGTTGCCGTGCACGTTGCTGACGTGAACACGATAGATGTTATCATTGTTAGAGTATCTTTATGACGTATGACGCACAATCTTCACATCTGCAAGTGTGTCAGTGACACACGTCGAGACATCAGACAAAATCCAGCAACCTAATTCTTGCTGAATGAAACGTTATCCAACTGTTGATTACGTTGTCAGAGAGAAGTAGGTAGGCGGGAATACACGGCATGTACGAAATGTGCGTGGAAATCACACAGACGCTGACACCATTCTTGTAAGACTTTTTTTTCTAGGAAGTTTGTGGAATCTGTGCCAAGGTAGGTTTGTATTAAAAACGATATTGAGACGTGACATTCATAAAATAAAATGTCTAAAACGGTAACAAACGTTCCCTACCTTACCCTTCGTCCTCCTTCCTCCCTCTTCCCCCTCCCCCCCCCCCCCCTCTCTCTCTCTCTTTATCTCTCTCCGCACTATTCGTATACCATATAATAGGTCCATATAATACTATTCGTATACCATATAATATATATCAGACGTGCCATTATATGGTATACATTACAATCATTACATCTTATATCTTGTTCCGTTGTAAAAAGTAATATTTCTTTATATTTCTTTGAATTTTTTATCATCATTTCCTTATACTATTTCCTACTCCAAGATTCCTATTTCCAAGATATATCTACATCATTTCTTTCTATAATCGTTTTAAACGATGCATACGTCACTCACATATGACGTTTACATGTTTATACTCGTACGTTTAAAGTGTGACGCATTTATTTCAAGTTTTGATAAAGATATTATACTTTTTATTAATAAAGCTAATTAGCGATTTACTTTCAGACGACTCATCCTTTTCTTGACTGATGCTTGAAAGAAGCATTTTCTCGGATGATACGCATTCGGATATTGATGTTTGGCGGTGAACAGAATATAAATAACGGAAATGGCAGCAGTGTTAACAAGCTTGATCGGCACGACTTCCGTTCTTGGACTTGGTTTGATTCCACTTTTGGCCATCGGTCTCACCGTGTACAGATACAATACCCTCGACCCAGAATCGCATCCGCAAAATGCACGAGAGGTATAAAGGGAGAAGGGGGAAGAACTAGGAAGAAGGATACAAAATTTATTTGTATAACTTGTAGAAAATCTAGACACGCGGCACAACTTTAGACAATCCTCCATAGAGTCGATAAAGTAGTGCTCGCGATTCATCGACTACCGACCAAACAGATCCAAGATTTAGAATCGATAGATCAGCGGTGTATATGTTTATTGTGAAATGAACAAGAGAGTGGTCCTCGCTCCTATTTTGGGGGGGGGGGGGGGGGGGGGGGGGGGGGGTAGGTAGACAGTTTCGCAACACGAAAAACTCTTTTGGTGTTTATCACTTTATCACAGAATCTATTAATACGAGAATAAACGAATATGGTTTAAAATTTTTGTACGTTCAAGGGAAAGCTACGTGCGATGCAGCTCTTAATTACTTTAGAAAATGTTTCAAGTGCGCTCACTATTATCGATATATACTTTCCACGTCCTTGAAAAATCGTTCGTCTTGCAAGTGTTGCATCAATGTAATCGATTATTATTGATAGCACGTGATCCAATAATCGAGTTCATATAACTTTTCACAGAAAAAGTTATTCAAGTTCAAATACAACGCGTTTTGATTAACGTAATGTTACATTTTCTCTTGCGGGTCAACGTCCTCCGCCCGCATACTCGCTATATTTAAACTTTCAGTTATTTATTCCGTAATACTTACTCCGGATACTACATAACGAATCGCGATGCAATTTCAGCTGCTACGAATGTACGACTTTATAGTGGTCGGAGGTGGCAGCGCGGGTGCCGTGATGGCCTCGAGATTGTCGGAGATACCTACGTGGACGGTGCTACTCTTAGAAGCTGGTGATGACGAGAATGAAATTTCGGACGTCCCTCTGCTTGCCGGATACACTCAGCTCACAGAATTCGATTGGAAGTATCAGACCTCACCACCCAGCAGCACGTCTGCTTATTGTCTCGCCATGATAGGCGACAGGTGTAATTGGCCACGCGGCAGAGTCCTCGGAGGATGCAGCGTTCTCAACGCCATGATTTATGTTCGTGGTAATAGGCAAGTATATACATTTCACACTTTCGTCGCTATAAGACGTGCTGTCGCGTTAGTGACAAGCGAGTCGAAACGATCAAACGATAAACAAGAGTTTGCTCGCGCAGGCACGATTACGACAGCTGGGCTCGAGCGGGTAACACGGGATGGAGCTACGAAGAAGTGTTCCCTTATTTCCTCAAGTCTGAAGACAATCGTAATCCGTATTTAGCGAGAACGCCTTACCACGAGACAGGGGGTTACCTGACGGTGCAGGAGCCACCCTGGAAATCTCCTCTGGCGATCGCCTTTTTGCAGGCTGGTCAAGAGATGGGCTATGAAAATCGCGACATAAACGGGTTCAATCAAACCGGCTTTATGTTGACGCAAGCGACGATTCGACGTGGCAGTCGATGCTCGACGGCGAAGGCCTTCCTACGACCGGTGAAAAATAGGCCGAACTTGCACATAGCGATGCACGCTCAAGCTCTGAGGGTGCTCTTTAACGCCGAGAAAAGAGCAACGGGCGTAGAATTCCTTCGCGACGGCAAGCAGCAGATCGTTAGATGCAGAAGAGAAGTCATCTTATCCGCCGGCGCGATTAATTCGCCTCAGTTGCTCATGCTGTCCGGGATCGGTCCCAGCGAGCACTTGACCGAGTTCGGTATACCAGTGATATCTAATCTACGAGTCGGGGATAATCTTCAGGACCATGTGGGCCTTGGCGGGCTGACATTTCTGGTGAACGAGTCGATCACCCTGATGAAAGAACGATTTCAAACTGTCTCGGTCATGTTCGAATACATCGCCAAGGAGCGAGGACCTCTGACCACTCCGGGAGTCGAGGCGCTAGCCTTTCTTAATACCAAGTACGCTAACAAGTCCGGCGACTATCCGGACGTGCAGTTTCACTTCGCGTCAAGTTCCATTAATTCCGATGGCGAACAAATAAAAAAGATTCTCGGTCTGCGAGATCGTGTGTACAACATCATGTACAAGCCCTTGCACGGCGTCGAGACCTGGTCGATCCTACCGCTTCTACTGCGGCCCAAGAGCACAGGTTGGATCAGGTTGAAGAGCAAAAACCCCTTAATTCAGCCGGACATCAATCCTAATTACTTTACGCGTAAGGAGGACATGGACGTTCTCGTGGAGGGGATCAGGTTGGCGATGCGGGTATCCAATACCAGCGCGTTTCAGCGATTCGGCTCGAGACCTCACACGATTCGTATGCCGGGCTGTTACAAATATCCGTTCGATACGTACGAGTATTGGGAGTGTGCCGTACGACACTTCACCTTCACGATTTACCATCCGACGAGTACCTGCAAGATGGGACCGCGGAGCGATCTCACGGCCGTCGTGGATCCGCGATTGAGAGTTTACGGAGTAAAAGGACTCAGAGTCGCTGATGCTTCTGTAATGCCGACCATTGTCAGTGGCAATCCAAATGCGCCGATTATCATGATCGGCGAGAAAGCCAGTGACATTATCAAGGAAGATTGGCGGGTGAAGGAAAAGCCAAGTGCCGGACGTAGATGACGGACGGACGTCGAATAGATTTAGGACGTATAAGTGTGTGTGTGTGTGTGTGTGTCTGTGTGTGTGTGTGTATCTCATAGCATCTCTGAATATAACCGAAATTTCACGTGTATGAGGAATGGCTACTAAACTTTCTACCTTTTACTCTCTTTCTTTTCATAACACATTTTTATAATATCATGTTTCTTTTTAGCTTTTTTATCGCGAGCTCGATTCACGTGTACGTTTCATCTTCTTTTTTACGCAAATTCGATAAAAGCATCTCTGTCAACATTCAATATAATAATATTTCATATAGGAGCCAGTGATTGATAGATAAGGAAGCATTTATATATATAATAAAAAAAGTAAATATCCTAAGATTAAAGATTAATGCTTATGAGATATGTATCGATTGTACGAGTGTGATATGTCTCTTCTTATTAGACACTTATAAACTTATATATAACGAGCGATTTCATCGACAGACAGAGGGAGAGAGAGTTGGGGGAATGTAATATGTTATGTACATATATTAGAATGTCAGAAACATCGAATGTTTCAAAGTCATTGAACTAGAAATTTTTACGACATTGGAGTGGCAGTGCCATTCTATGTAAAATAATGTAAAAACATTAATTTATTTACTCCATTAAACATATCAACTAATTATACTATGTGTTTATTATTGCATATACACAATAGGATGCAATTAACACCTACTCCTCTTTCGTACATAATTAATAATATACAACTTGGATCAACGATCTTAGTACGAATCGATAAGGATTCCTTGGACGGCGAAACCGTATTAAACTCGCTTTAATTATATACAATAGCGCAATCGATAGCGCTTATTATTACAAGTGCACATATTTCCGGTTGCGGGAGCGTGAACGCGAAAAAGATTACTCGATATTTCCGACGTACGAGATCGTGACGACTTTCAAATCGTAAGTGGGCGAATGTAATTTTACATAACGTTGCATCTCGTGCCAAAAGTCGCGCGTGGCGAAGCGCATATTCTCACGCGTGCGTGCGCGTTTTTACTCTCTATTTCCGCTTCCTCGTCTTATCTATTAACGCATTCGACAGAACGAATATAGCACGTCAACCAAGTAATTCAGCGCATGCCGTTGCAAATTATATGCATCGATGTTATTTCCGCTTCTTCGACTATCCGTAGACGTCGTTGACATTTCTTTAATAAATCACATCTCTCTCTCTCTCTCTCTCTCTCTCTCTCTCTCTCTCTCTCTCTCT